ATATACTTTCTGCATGTTCATTTTTTCATTTAAGGAGAATACTCTTTTTGATAATTATTTGGATTTTTGTTTTTCAAGTTTGTAGCCTATTTATTGTTAAATATTTAGTATTATAACAATATCTTTAGATTGTCAATTTTTGAAAATAACAACGATTATAGTTGTTTAATATTTTCTTCCATTTAATAGACAACATCATTAATAAGATTACTAGCTATCTAAACCTTAAAATACTTCCTTGAATTAAGCATAAAATGATTTACATTTAAAGTTTCTAGTTTTCAAATGATTTACTTGTTTACTTTAATCATATTAAATTCTTCAATGCATAATTATAGCTTTTATACACTTTGAAAACATGCTAATCTTGCCAATATGTTAAATAAAAAACATAAGGTTGTATAGAATTCTATAGCTGTTATTAAGAAGAAATTATTTTAATTTAAATATAATATATTTTATTTATTCTTAAAAAAACAAATTTAATTAAAGAAAACTAAAAAATTATAACAAGAGCAATTTTTTATCTTATTTATCAAATTGTTTAGAAAATTAATGATTATACTTACATTGAAAAGACTTATAGTAATATAAATACAAGTGCTGTTATTTAAATAAATTCATTTAGATTTAAGGCTTGGAAAACAGCTTGTGCCTACAAAACCAATTGCAGTGATTTGTTACTTTATTGTAAAGAAATTCTAAAATCATTCTTTCGCAACAATAAGTTAAACAAATTATTAGAATTTGTTTGTCTTATTGTATATTAAATTTAGCAAAAACAGTTTGTTTGACTGCTCATGAATATAGCAATTCTGGAATTAATATTATAACAGGTAAGGTTTGCTTTATTATTTTACAGTTAGTAATACAAATAATCAAATAATCGATATATGAATTAGACTTGTTTTAATACTAATTTGAGTTTATTTAATGATCTATCTTTTGGGTAATGGTTGAATACTTGTAAAGCCAATTTAACATATACTGGATATGATGAAGAGCGTACAAATTTTTATCTTTAATTAACAAACCTTACTGCTGCAATTCGTTAAAATTAATAATATTATTATACAAATAATGGATCTACATGTTGTAAAACAATTTGATCAAGTACAAGATATACTAATATAATATAAACGTTTTCATTATTGTTCTGATTAGTTAATTTAATGTGTAAATATTAAAAAATTAATTTTCAGATGAAAAATATTCATTAGAATCTTAATTCCAAAACTTAATTAAATAAATAATATTATAAAAAATTATTGTGAAAATTTCGATAAATCAAAACTCTCCAAAAACTTCTAATAATATAAAATATTAACCTATCAAAACTATTTAGAGCGAAATTAGATATATTCAAATTATTGTTATATATATTTATCAGCTTTAATCAAACGTCTTTCTAATATCAAATTCAACTTTGGTACCTAATTTTTAACCTTAGACATTATATTCTCCCTTATAAACTATTTTACAAGAATCTATAAATTACTCTGATCACTAAATCCAATCCTCTATCTTTCTTGAACTTTCATTTTAACTATCATATAACCCACCTCCTTTATTATAATTTATTTAATAACGATTTACATAATGTTATTTTACCATCCTTAATCAATATATGAAAACCAAATATCCCATCTACCAATTTTTTAACAATTTCCAATTTTTATTGAACTCCTCCTTTCTAATTTTTCATATTATACACCCCACCCCTCCCCACCCCTTGATATTTAGTTAACTATGCTTTACATTTATTTTTCTCCAAATTCAAGATTAAGGTATATCTCAACCCAACTTCCAATCTTACCTTAA